ACCGTACTAAATTGAAGTCATCGAACGAACGCCTTCGAAACTTTCTGATTGGCTGGTTGAATCTGCTATATTGCTTTTCATATAAACATATAATCTAATATAATATAATTTAATTATTTGTATACATGGATTCCAGTCACTTTATATATATATATATAATAAAAATTCATTATAAAAGCAACAGTAATCAGTGCTATATATGTAAGCACGCAGTTCAAATTTTTCGGGGAGAATTCAAAATTGTTTAAGACCACACCTTGCTTAACATCCAATTCCAAGCCGAGCCAAGCCAAGCTGAGCCAATATGCATAGATTTAAAAGCGCTTTTATGTTAATATTTTGCTCGCTATATTTATATATTTTATAAATTCATTATAAAAAAACAACAGTAGCCATTACTATATATGTACGCCGCAGTTCAAATTTTCCGGGGAGAATTCAAAATAGTTTGAGACCACACCTTGCTTAACATCCGATTCCAAGCCGAGCCAAGCCAAGCTGAGCCAATATGCATAGATTTATAAGCGCTTTTATGTTAATATTTGCTCGCTATATTTATATATTTTATAAATTCATTATAAAAAACAACAGTAGCCATTACTATATATGTACGCACGCAGTTCAAATTTTTCGGGGAGAATTCAAAATAGTTTGAGACCACACCTTGCTTAACATCCGATTCCAAGCCGAGCCAAGCCAAGCTGAGCCAATATGCATAGATTTATAAGCGCTTTTATGTTAATATTTGCTCGCTATATTTATATATTTTATAAATTCATTATAAAAAACAACAGTAGCCATAACTATATATGTACGCACGCAGTTCAAATTTTTCGGGGAGAATTCAAAATAGTTTGAGACCACACCTTGCTTAACATCCGATTCCAAGCCGAGCCAAGCCAAGCTGAGCCAATATGCATAGATTTATAAGCGCTTTTATGTTAATATTTGCTCGCTATATTTATATATTTTATAAATTCATTATAAAAAAACAACAGTAGCCATTACTATATATGTACGCCGCAGTTCAAATTTTTCGGGGAGAATTCAAAATAGTTTGAGACCACACCTTGCTTAACATCCGATTCCAAGCCGAGCCAAGCCAAGCTGAGCCAATATGCATAGATTTATAAGCGCTTTTATGTTAATATTTGCTCGCTATATTTATATATTTTATAAATTCATTATAAAAAACAACAGTAGCCATTACTATATATGTACGCACGCAGTTCAAATTTTTCGGGGAGAATTCAAAATAGTTTGAGACCACACCTTGCTTAACATCCGATTCCAAGCCGAGCCAAGCCAAGCTGAGCCAATATGCATAGATTTATAAGCGCTTTTATGTTAATATTTGCTCGCTATATTTATATATTTTATAAATTCATTATAAAAAACAACAGTAGCCATAACTATATATGTACGCACGCAGTTCAAATTTTTCGGGGAGAATTCAAAATAGTTTGAGACCACACCTTGCTTAACATCCGATTCCAAGCCGAGCCAAGCCAAGCTGAGCCAATATGCATAGATTTATAAGCGCTTTTATGTTAATATTTGCTCGCTATATTTATATATTTTATAAATTCATTATAAAAAAACAACAGTAGCCATTACTATATATGTACGCCGCAGTTCAAATTTTTCGGGGAGAATTCAAAATAGTTTGAGACCACACCTTGCTTAACATCCGATTCCAAGCCGAGCCAAGCCAAGCTGAGCCAATATGCATAGATTTATAAGCGCTTTTATGTTAATATTTGCTCGCTATATTTATATATTTTATAAATTCATTATAAAAAACAACAGTAGCCATAACTATATATGTACGCACGCAGTTCAAATTTTTCGAGGAGAATTCAAAATAGTTTGAGACCACACCTTATATGATTTGATCCATATATATAGAATATATACATTATAATGAATGATATATTCTATATATATGTTGTGATCATATACTTATAATACTTGTAACTTATTTGTTTCATTACTTTTATTGTAAAACCCACCTTTTATAACAAATAATGGTTATGAAAAACATGTTTTATTGTTCTGTAGAAATTCATAAACGGAATATTTACAGAAAACCCATCAGAGAAGAACACATTTTTTAGCAATTCTTCATGTAAAATCTACCATTCGAATAATTTATAAATCAAGTTAAAGAATGTAGTGATTTTAATAAAATTTAAAAAGCTCATTGTAAAATGTACATATTATTTTATTTACATGTTATAGAGATTTGTGCACACAGAGATCATTGGCAGCTGTCTTTAAATGTAAGAATTGATAAACATTTACACACAAACACAGACACACTCAATTAACTGTCATCTTCCTCTTCCTCACTCTCACATGCTCTAGGTCCTGAATAACACAAAATACATAATGAAAATATTGAATCAACATCAGAAAAAAGTATTGAAAACTTAAAATATTAACAGCAATAAGTAGAAAATTCTAAAAACACACCTGATTTTACAGCAGTAATTCCATTTGCATTCAAATCCATTAATGGTTCTTGATTTACAGCATTAGTAAACTGAAAAATGTAAATTTTGTAAATAAAATTATTATTTATTCAACAAACTAAACTGAAAGATATCAATTACAAATGAAATTTTAAACGAAAAATTTTCTAACATCAACTGGTTTCTCAGAAACTGGAAGTGGGGCAGCAAAAAAAGTTGTGCTTGTTGTAGTGCTCAGTTGTTGCTGCAACAGTTGGGTTTGTTGCTCATTTTTCTGCTTTCGAATGTAGCTCTGTAATGCTAATTCTTCAACCTACCAAAATAACAAAAATAGAAACTTCTTATTTAATTTTACTCTCATAAATATAAATTGTTATAAAATATTAAATGCTTTATTTAAAATTAAAATTTACTTTTAATCGATTGAGATGGTCATTTAATTTTGAGAGAATCTTCAGTAAAACTTTTTCCTCTTCTTTCAACAGACTAAGCTCCACACTGCACGCCATTCTATTTTTTTAATAATTTTAATAAACTTTAACTTTGAAAAATGATTGACGGTACAACCCAACCGTCTGAAACTTCACGATTATTCTAGTTATGTGCTTCACGAGGTATTTTAAATTGGTTGCTTATAGATGGATTGAGACAACTAAAAGTTAACAGTAGTTATTATAATTTGTATGGCAAAGCAAAAATCGTGTAGTGTGCGAAATGGTGGAATTAAAATTTGCTTTGAAAGTGTGTTTTTGATTAAAATTAGTTTAACATAAAATAAATTATATATAAAATTAATAAATTAATTTTTATTTGTTTAAAAACAAAGTAATCTATCAATAAAAGAGAGTATTTTATTAAATTCTGATTAATTTTATTCTATACCTCAAAAGGTATGGTCATCAACATTAAATGTTTAAAAGTTAAACTTGCTTCAAATGTTTGCGTAGTTAAATTTTTTACCAAAAATAAACTTCAAATATTAAAAAAGAACTTAAAAACTATCCTAGATTCAAGATGATTCCAATAAATTTCAAAGAGATAGAGTCTGGAGTTATTTTTGAAAAGCACACAATTGATGAAATCAATGGAATTGAGAAACGGATTAGGTTTTTTTAAAATTCGTTTTGATTGAAACCCCATTTGATTTGAGTCCCTTATCAGTTGAATTGGTTGATTGTAGTCGATTGATTAGTTATCATATTAATTTTACTACCAAAACTAACTAATTTTAAAAATTATTGTATTGCCTATCAATCAATGATTAATATTTATTTTTTTATTTAATTTCAAATAATTAATAACGATTATTTTTCTATTTCTATTACATTATAATATTTTAATTCTTAAAAAAGGCAAGAAATAGATAAAAAGAAAGAGGAGCTAAGGCAGATGGTTGGGTTAGTGGTTCAGTTTATTTAATTAATATTAATGTTTTTAATTGTAATGTTTTAATTAATAATTATTCATAAATGCAAGCATGGCTTACAAAGACTATTAATTGTAATTTAACATTTTGATTACAAAACATTATAGGCAACGATATAGAGAGTTAATTGAAGCTGCTGATACTATCACTGACATGAAGAATGGGAGTGAAAAGGTTTTTATCCTATTTTTATTCTTTCATTATTTGAAAATATTGTAAATCCTATTTTTAAACGATTATAATAATTATATTTTCAGGTTTTGGAATCCATACAAAAGTTACAGAAGTTATGTCAAAATCTAAAAGAGAAATCTTCATCTTTATCGTCGAAACAACCTGTTTCTAAGTTTGTATGTGTGTGTGTATGTGTGTGTGTGTGTGTTAACTTATATATGGATAGATAGATAAATAAATAAATGGATGACAGAGTAAATGGATGAATAATTGAATGAATTAATTAATAATAAAAGTTTAACAGAAGAAGAAATGACTCATAGGTCAAACTCTGCATGCTTGAAAATTCTTCTAGAGCTGCCATCAAAAGTAATAATAAATCCGTTCGAAATTATTATTTATCATAATAATAATTATTATTCTTTTCATGATATAATTAAATATTATAAAATTATTTTAAATTTCGTTTCTTGCCAAAGATCTGGTGTCACATGGATGACAACGAGTATTTGGAATCTTCCAGAATTTATTTACTCGGCCAGCATATACACGCCCATCTCTGTTCAGGGATGGATGAACAGCTGATCGGTCTGGTCGTCAAACATTGGGGTAACGTCGGCCATTTGAAGAAAGTTATTATAAAGGTTAGGTTTCCTTTTAAACATTTTGATAGTTTCGTCTTGCTGGCCATGATGCTATATGCTTTTTCTGAAAAATAAAAATGATGACAATTGTGATGATGGTGGCTACGATGACGATGATGATGATGATGACGACGACGATGATGATGATTTTATCTTCATCCCAACAGAATGCAGAGGATATCTTGAAGGATGTAGCTGCCAGTGACAAGGCCTGTTAATGATATCAAAATTGGAAAATTCTCAAGACGCCATCTTCTAATTTAACATATAATTAACATAATTTATTTATCAATTTTTTTCACAATTTGAATATTATATCATCCCCATATACCTATTTTTAATCTTTCGATGTATTTTTAATACAAGCAAATGATACATTAATGGATTTTCAATTTGCCCAAATGATATGCTAATATATTTTCACTTTATGATAATGATATGTTAATTTCACGTTAGTTTATGTTTACGGTATGCAAATTTGATCCCAAATAGCTGGTGGTCGATTGCTTGTGCACGTTGTCATTGCTAGTGAACAAGCCTGTTGATGCGGTGTTCAAGGAATTTCTGGATATAAGAATCGTAAGATAATTATTACTTTAATTGTTTTTATTATTGTTGTTGTTGTTGTTATGATAATAATAATAATTATTATTATTATTGCATTTTGTATAAATTACAATTTAAAAAAATAAATGAATGAAATAAACGAATAATTTTTTTTACCAGCAACAGTTTAACAGTGTGGCTCCGAGCAGTAATGGTAGTAGTGCTGGTCTGAGTAGTAATGGTAGTAGTAGTAGTAGTAGTAGTAGTGGTAGCGGTGGTGGTGGTAGTAGTAATAGTAGTAGAGATGTGCAGAGTATAAAACCATTGATATGCGATATTGTCGATAATTTCACGTCTACATTGAGGCAAATTCATTATCTATTCTTTGCTCCCGTCTCGAACGATGATGGCAATGGCAATGGCGCCAATTTCGGTGAGCGATAATAAGAGAACGATGATGATGATGATGATAGTTGTAGTGAAGATGACAGTGATTAACGACGACGATGATGATGATGAATGATATTGAGGATAGGACGATGATGTTGGTTATGTTATTATGAATCATCTCGTTTATCTTGACGACGACGACGATGACGATGATGATAACAGTTATTATCATAATTATATTATGATATTATCTCTTCTTTTTTTTCAAACTTATTTAATAATAATAATATTTAATCATTTAAAAATCAGAAATGGACAATCTTTTCTCAAGGACGTTAATGAACTGTTTGAATAAAGATTCTTCTGGTAATAATAATAATGATAATTAATATTATTTATTATTAATAATAATAATAACTATAATTATTAATTATTATCATTATTATTCTCGCAGATTTTATAAAGAAATCTGAAATCTTATCAGAGCAAGCCATCAACCTGCTCCCTAAAACAGTTCTAAGTAAAATATTTCGAATGTTTTTTTTTCAAAATTATTAAAACAATAAAAAAAGTTGTAGATGTAATTAATAATAATAATAGTGTTTATAATAATAATGTTAAAAATAATAATAATAATATTCTCATAGACTTCAAGCCCACAGTTAAATCCGAATTGAAACCATTGGAAAAAGATTTTGTTAAAAATGAAACAAAAACATTTGTTGAAAAGTAAATTTAACTTCAATTTTTCATAATTATTATTAGTGATAATAGAGTTATTATTGTTATTATTATGATTATAATTTTTTCAAATGTCAAGGTCGACCAGATCGGTAAACAGTGGTTTCAGTTCTTTGTTCGAGTACATCGTTAATATAACATCTTTGGCCTCTACTAGAAGAGATGTCATTACCGTCATTAAAAAGGTTCTTTGTTATTTGCATTCATGTTTTTTCTTATTTTTTTGTTTTTTGGGGCTTTGTTCCTCTTTTTTTTTGATAAATTGGTTTGAAAAAAATTAATTTGAAAAAAAAATAAATCAACGCTTGTTTGTTTAATTATCTGTTTACATATAGAACTGTAAGAAATGTGATTGGCCGAAGATATGCAATGACGTCATCGGGCACGACCTTGACATTTGGAAGGAGTTTTTGAAGGGTCACTTCATTAAGAGAATGAAGGTCGGCGATGACGATGATGATGATGACGACGACGATGATAATGATGATGTTGACTGCTTTGGTGTATTGCTGACCAATCAGAATTGATATCATTTTCATCATAATTGATATACCATCATCATCGTTATCAGACCTTGATAGAGCAACATGTATCATTGATACTGAGTTCAACGAAGACTGATATATCAGATACTCTCAACAGAACGTTCCACGCTAAGTTTGTATTTCTATCTTTAAATTTGTGTAGCACCTTGTTTTTAGATTTTTTACGAAAAAAAAATTATTGTCAGTTTGTGTAGTTTTGTTTTCAGTGTATAAGTTTTTACGATAATATGTCAATAATAATAATAATAACAATAATTAAATCAATAATGACATAAATATTTATAATACAAACAATAACAACAGATCAAACAAACCAACATCATCATCAACGACGACGACATCAATGTTTGAACGGGACATCTCAACTTACATTTGGCTCGAGGGCAAAACTGACATCGACCTGTCAATCATCTGGGGGGGTCCAATTAGGAGCAGCGCTTCCGGCAGCAGTGGCAGTAGTAGTAGTGGTTTGGCAATGAAAGCAAAAGGTTATACACCTGAGATTCAAAGGTTCGTTTGATTATGATGATGATTTTATTGTTGTTGATGATGATGATTACAATGGTGATGGTGAATACCAGGATGATGATGACGATGATGATGACGACAGCAATAATTACGAGAGCGACGATGATAATGATTATGACGGAAATAGTAACGATGACTTATTCAACCCTTTGCAGTCTCAACCACTCACTGAACTCGAAACTACGCTCCTTATTGGACGAGGTCGCCAGTTACGCCAGCCAATCAGAGAAAGCTTCGCTCGCAGCTGCCACACCAACATCATCATCGAATCATTTCTTGTTTCGCAATGATAACTCTGATAATGATGATGATAATAGTCTAAATAAAAATAGCAATGATGCTGATGATGATATGAGTAAAGTTCAGGAACTACTAAGAACTACATGTGAGAAATTCACCATAGAGTAAGAGTTCTTGTTAGAGGCTCACCGAATATCCGACTATTTTTAAAGGCCAAACAGCCAAATATTGCAATTTTTTTCAATTCACTTTCTTGCGATTCCATAGCAATAATTGTTCGTTATTAATAGCAGAAAACTTATTTTTAGCCAACAAAGCTATTAAAACATCTGAATTTTTGAACAAGGGATGGAATTTTATTTCAAAATTTCGGGTTTTTCGGTTTCGTCCAATAGTAGATCGGCTATTCGGTGCATCCCCGATCATCAATATCATTAATAATAATAATAATATCATTATTATTATATCAATGCTGTTATTGATGATGTTATTATTGTTTTTTTCATTGTTATTTGGATTATGTTATGAAAAATTTCTATACTATAAAGGCTGATGGAGTTCATGCTGGAGCAAGTTAGTTCTTCAGAGGAACAACTCAACAACAACAACAACAAAAACATTTATGACGTCAATAACAACAATAATAGTGCTTCTACTACAGACGATGATGACGACCTAATACCACTCTATAAGTAATGATATATGATTATGACGATGATGATGATTGATAGATAACGTGTGAAGATGATGATGATTGCGATGACGACGACGACGACGATGATAACAACAACATCAACAACAACATCAATAACCGCAACATCAACAACCACAGCAACATCCATAACCACAACACTAATAATAACAACAACAAAAACAGAATTATTTTCATCGGTCGCTGGGCAACGAGTCTCAGTGAAACCTGCCCATCCCTGAAATCCTCCATGACGGAAGTTGACGCTGCTGCCGCTGCTAGTGACGTCATTGTTACATCATCGTCGTTAGTTATTTTCGTTGCTTCTGCTGTAGATGTTGGTGATGCTTTCTATCTGATGTTGTTGCTTACATAATTTCACAAGTTTTTAATTTCCTCTAGATTACCGAAATTGCTGAATAAGACTGTTGCAAACGTGAAACCGACAACAACAACAAGCAACAACAACGACAACAACAACATTTGGTCGAACGTTCTGGAAAGAATTGATTCATTCTGCCAACGGGTGTACATGTATGTGTGTATGTGTGCTGTTGCAATTTGTGTTTGGCTGGCTGGCTGCTTGATTGATTGATTGGTTGATTAGTTGATGGGTTGATTGGTTGATTAGTTGGTGGATTGATTGGTTGATTAGTTGGTGGGTTGATTGATTAGCTGGTTGGTTGATTGATTGATTGGTTGGCTGGCTGGCTGGTTTATTGGTTTATTGGTTGGTTGATTGATCGATTGATTTATTAGCTTGTTGGCTGAGTCGACGAATTTTATGATTGGGCTGGTTTGTTGATTAATTGAATTGCGAATTTTGTGAAGACTAATTGATTGAATGAATGACTGATTGAATGAATGATTGAATGAATGATTGATAGATTGAATGAATGAATGATTGATCCACAAGGGTATGGTCCAATCACATAGTGACGATGTTGACTGGACAACTCAAGAGATCGTTAATGACGTTACTGCATAGACCTATAAACGGATTTCTGTCCAATTGCACGGTTCTTTGTTGTTGTTATTGTCGATTTGTTAATAATAACAATGATAATAATAATTATGATAATAATTATAATAATAATAATTATAATAATAATTATGATAATAATAATTATGATAATAATAATTATGATAATAATAATTATGATAATAATAATTATGATAATAATAATTATGATAATAATAATTATGATAATAATAATTATGATAATAATAATTATGATAATAATAATAATAATAAAAAGCAATGGGAAACGATAACGGTCGATGAAGAGAATGAAGAGGGAAAGGTAGTTAAGTCCTGTATAAAGATACCTATGCAGGTTATGATCATGATGGAGATTTTGGTGGCGGTACTGATGACGATGGTGATGTATAAAGTTTGAATTGAGATGGTGATGTATAAAGTTTTACTAAAGATGATGATGAGTTTTTTTTCTCCATAAAGCTCTTGAATATTAATTTACTTTTTTATTTATTCACTTATTAATTGATTAATTAATTAATTAATTCATTCATTCATTCATTGTTAGGCCTCATGGAATGTGCAAAATGTATTGTACGCACTATGCACACATATCAACAAAGTCGGCGGGCACGTTATGCACAGGTTATTCATTCATTCGTTTAATTATCCGTTCTTTCACTCATTCATTCTTTGAAACATTCATTGATTGATTCATCCATTTATCCAGCCATTTTTTATCTATTCATTTGTTGATTGATTGATTTACTCATTTATCCATCCATCATCCATCCATCCATTCATTCATTCATTCATTCATACATTCGTCTAACAGATCGATTCTAAACAGCCTAACGACAAGCTTACTAGACAACATACTTTCAATCTATCTTGAACTACTATCATCAAAACCACCACTGCCGCCATCATCATCAGCAGCAGCACCTACGTCATCGTTGCCATCGTCATCATCTCGAAATGACGTCATCCCGCAAAATTATGCTATGCAGATGTGGTTTGATGTCAAATATCTGTCCAATCTGTTGGCCTGCGTCGACGAGGTTGTGATGATGATGATGATTGTGATAATGATTGTGAAGATTGTGATGATGATGTGATGATGATTGTGATGATGACGATGATTGTGATGATGAATAAATAAACGATTAGTTGATCGAACGAGTGAATGAGTGACAGACAGAATGAATTAATAAACAAATAAATGAATGAAAATGCAGACAAGATCATCGTCGTCGTCGTCATCACTGACAACAACAGCAAACAAAGTCACAGAAACTTTAGAAGCCATCGAGTCAATGGTCGATCCGTTCGATTTTGATGTCTTCAAAAGTTACCTATTGAGAAACACGAACAAGCAAATGCAAAAAACTTATGTATGTTTGTTTGTTCGTTGGTATGTATGTATGTGTGAATTATGTACGTGTTTGTGTATGTATGTACGTATCTGTGTGTTAGAGGTGAGCGGGAATTGAAATCTGTTCCCAATTCCCTCCATTTTTTTTTCATTCCCGATCCTCTCCCGAATTCACATTTATGACAACGTACCTGAAATACCACATCCTTCATTTTTTTAAACTCATTCTCGCGTTTTCCCTTCTATTCCCTCCCGATTCCAATAGAGTTATATAGGGTTATATAAAGTTCCCATTCCCGCCCGTCATTCCCGAACAGCGATTCCCTAAAATTACAATTCCCGAAAATTAAGTTTTACCAATTCCCAAAGGAATCCCATGGGATTCGCGTTCCCATGCTCACCTCTACTGTATGTATGTATGTTTTTAAATAATTTTCTTTCAAGCACATTTAAAACCCCTCAAAGATTTTGTACGGTTTAGCTTTGGGATCGGAAAGATCATCATTATCATCATTCCCATCGTCGTCGTCGTTTCTGACGTCATCATCATCATCAGGAGGACAGCATGATCAGCATCATGTTGCCTATCTATCTGATGTTTCTGGAAGGTTCCCGTTGTTACCTATCCCGCATACTGCTAGTAAACAATATCAATCTAATTTAGAGGTGAATATTCTTTCCTATGAATATTTATTCAATTTGGAGTTCATTTTACACACGCACGCACCAACACACGCACACATCAACACACGCACACATCAACACACGCATATACATATATATTATAATGTAATTATACTCATGATATAATAATGATATATTATAATTAATAACTATAAATTTAAAATCTTTAGCATAAAGCAGCAATGAACTCAAGACAAGCAGCAACAATGACATCCGCTACTACAAACAGCAACAACAAAGTTGACGCCAACAACTCCAACATCAAAACGTCGTCGTTTACGTCATCATTTCCATCGTCGTCATCATCATCATTTCCTCAAGCTCCTCCTCTTCCACCCAGAGCAGGATCATCATCATTCCTTGAAGAAATGAGTCGTTTGTTTGGTAGTGGGGGCAGTGCAAATGCCTTGTACAACAAGTGAATGAGTGCGTGAATAAATAAAGGAAGAAAGATCAAGTGAAAGAAAGTAGTAGTGATAGAGTGCGTGAATGAGCAATAGAATAAACGAGGAAAGAAATAAGTAAATCTTATATCAATTCACCCATCCATAACTTACTTTCAATTTTCAACAAGCAAATTAACTTTGTAGCGTATGATAATATTAATAACAATAGTTTTGATGAAAAACTAACTGTCCACAGTTCAACTAACAAAGAAGTTACTACTGACAATACATTCGATGCATTACTACTGCAAATTTTTCATTACAAATGGGCTTAGATTGTTATTATGATTGTTATTATTATTATTGTTGTTGTCGTTATTTAGTTATTTTATTACTGTTATTACGTAAACGCGTAACGAAAATTGAACTAAATGAAAAACGAATTCCCTTTAAATTGTACATCACCTACCATGTTGGTTTTTTTTGCCTTATTTCTTCTTTGAATAAACAGTAGAGTAGTTGATATAATCTCTCTCTCTACACATATACAAACACACACACACACAGAGAGAGAGAGAGAGAGAGAGAGAGAGGGGGGGGGGGGAAAGAGATAATTCAAATTGCTATAAAGAGCGTAACAAAACGAAAACATGCGAACATTGTATACAAAAAATGAATTCTAAATAAATAATATATAATTACAGCTGCGATTATCTGCAATTATAGAGACATCATGACTAATTATAATTAATTACAATCATATTAAAAAATAATTACAGTCATAATTTTGAATTAATTTTTTTCATTTTGATATCTTCCAGTGCCTTGATGACGGCCTTCACTTTGTCGTTCTTGTTTTCTTCTGGAATGTTCAAAATTTCGTAGAGTCGCTTCTGACTTATAAATCGTAATATCTCCTGTTTATAAAATAATAATTATTATTATAATTATGATAAATTATAGTTGTAATACCAATAATTTCGAAACCTGTGATTTGAAGGTAATGTTTTCTCTCTCTTGCATTGTGAGCTGTTTGCACAAGTTAATAGGCACCCTCTCGCACGGGTCCTGCAGGCCTGGACCGTCTTTTTTTGAATAAATTAAGACGTATAAATGAACTAATTAATACAACTGTAATAGGAATGAATAAATTAACCAAAAATCAAGTAGAATTTCATGAGAATCTACATAAGAAAAGCAAACATCAGCAGGAAGAAAACAGTCAGTCAACAATTATCTACTCTGTCCATCAATCAATCAATTAACCAATTAATTATTAATTAATTAATCAATCAACCATCCTCCAGACAGCATACCAGGTAACAAGGCACCGGATGATATACTCTCAAAAAATCTCAGGACGGCTTCACTGATTGAAATCTGTGCTCCACTGGACGAACTCAAAACCTTGAATAACAATTGCTGCAACATCTAAAAGTGAATTTATATTATTATCTATTTAATATTATTAAATAATTAATATTATTTAAGTATATTATTATCATTCTTATTACCACTAAGCATTGCTGTTGTGTCACTAAATCTTTAACATAATTAAATTGAATTATCACTAATAATTTTAGTAAAGTACTATGAATATGATTATATTATCATTTATCATTGTTAAATTGCTTTTATTATTATAACAAACTATTATAATTTAGGTAATGTTTAATAAAGTCACCACCCAAATATTTAGAACGGTTAGTGTCGGGTCATTACTGCATAGATCTCTTAATACTCTAAAGACAGGTTCACAATGGTTCAATAGATACATCTTTGACTGCAAAGAAATAAATTCGTGAAAAAAAAATAAAAATTAAATAATAAAAGAATGTTAATAGATCAGGTAACTAATTTAAAAGAACATGAACACACACACGCCACACACACACGCACACAAATGCACAACCTCAAACCATCTAGCTCTTCTTATAGCTAGTAAGGCCTCGTCACAACATTCCTGAGACAGCATGTCGGGTGGGTCATGTGGGATGTTTGCTGTTGAAATAATTATTTAATTTGATTTAAATATATGATATAATTAATCATAAAATATAATAATATCAATTATTATTCATAATATTGGTAATTGATTCGTAATATTATTAATTAATCATTAACTATGAGTCACGGATTCATAATAGTAATCGTAATGATCAAATAACCAAAACAATCCAGCCAAAAAATTAACAACTTAATCAACCAATAAATCAACCAATTAATCAGTCAACTAATCAATCAACCAATCAGCCGACCAACCATTGAATAATTTAAATGGATGTTTCCTGACGAGTTTCGACGTTAGTGAAATGGTACAAGACACCTGGGGAACTGCCAGGGGATCAACTGGAGCCACTACAAAACAGCCTCCATTTCTATTCAGTGTCGTCTGATAACTACTTTCATTATCTTCTGATGGCGTCACTTTCTGCAGGATTGGCCAGAAAATATTATACATAATTAGTTATAACAAAAACTATTGTTCTTATTTATTTATTTAATTAATTAATTATTAAGTATTTCAAACTTTTATTGCAAAATTCTAAAAAATCTAATAATAGAAACAACAAAATTTCCTCAAGAATAATAAAAGTAACAAAAAACAGCTTCAAAAACTAAAGTAAAGTGCACACAGTGAGCTGTTCGTCGAAGTATTCCTTCATCTTGACTAGTGTTGAAAATGTTGGCTTATCCCTCGAAACCACCACGAGGCAAACTCGCACATCTCCGGCCATTAGCAGACCATTTCCTAGTAGGCCAACCCTGACGCTGCCTAATAACTGTCTTTCTCCTGAAATTAGTGAATTTTATTAGAGTGTGTGTGTGTGTTGGAAGTTGGAACTAATATAGCTAGTTTGTTGTTGTTACCAAATGGTTGCAATGTTTCAAAAAATTTGTTAAAAAAAGCCGTCATTAACATTAATATTATTAATACTAATACAGCTATTAGCACTACTATTCCTTCTACTACTACTACAAATACTAATACTCTTATTGAAATTCACCATACTTATTGCTATTACGGATATGCAATGCTTACCCATACCATCAGTATTTATATTTTCTTTATTTTTATCGCCACCATTCCGATCATCATCATCATTCTCGACGTTCATGTCTTCAGTGTCATCTTTCTTTATATTTTCTAATGATTCTACGTTAATTTCATTTTCAGTTTTCATATCTATGTTTTGTTGCTGCGAATCTGTGGCTGTTGTTGCTACTGTTGACGCGCTGGCCACGACACTTTCGTTTATTTGTTTGCTGATGCCATCGTTGCTTTCAGCTTTTTGGGCTTCTATAGCTAAACTTTGATAGAATTTAGAAATATTTTAGTGGGTTATTACCATTAATAATTTATATAAATATATATATATATATACATCTATGAAATTGAAAAAATTTAAATGAATTTCAAAATAAAAATAAAAAATATTTCAAAAAATTAAACATCCTTACTTACTCTCTAACAAACATATCAGAAACGAGCTTCAATGTCTTCTCACAAGTCAGAACAATGTTTTTCACGGCTACAAACTGTAATTGTGTTATTGCGTTGAATTGAGAATGGAAAAAAAGCGCACACACATACACACACGCACAGATATACATATTCATACACACAAACGCACACACAAAGTTTATACTATAGTTCAATTTTTATTCTAAAATATAATAGATTTAAGTACATAAACACAAAATGGACCATAGTCATGAAGAATGAGAAATATATTTATTTAAATTGATCATTTTAATTTTCAATTACTTCAGCTTCTGATGGCGCCAGAGATTCACTTTTCACCATAATCAGTTTGTCATCAACACTCAGTGTATCACAAGTCTCCTTTTAAAAGTTTTAAAAATTAAAATATTTTTAAGACAAATAAAATTTATCTGACCGATAAATAAGTCGTAATGGGCCTCAGTCTCTTACGATGGCACAATACTTTATAAAACGACATTATTAATAAAATATTATTATTACATTACGATTACAATCATAAGAGTCAATTCAAGTCTCAAAGTAAGCAAGAAATTTAAAATAGGGTCTTCTCATCTATATGATGTCTCAATCAATGTCTGATGAAAAACATTTATGTGGGTTAATTTGATATTTATTCAAATTTTAAATTAATATTAAAAATTTAATTAAAAATTAACTAAAAAACATACATAATCCTGGAGTGTAGAATGTCCTTTTTCTTTACAATGGTTAATTTTATCTTGGAGATCTACGTGTACTCCACATAACAAACAATAAAATTTAGGACCATTAAACGTTTGAATTTCTTCAATAAAACTCATTTTTATTGAGCCTTTTGCGGCTTTTTCGCTACCTAGTTATCGCTCAATCAGTTGCATAGAAAAAGTATATCAGAAAAAATATACCAGATAGCAAGCACTCAGAGAAATTACATTTTATGTCAATCAATATAAGTATGTGCATGAATCTTGCAAACTTCATAATTTCCTTTATCAAATTATACATTGATAAATTATTCGGTCTATTCAAATGAACATAGGACATTCTATTCATATTCTACATATATGAGTAGACAAATATTTCAATATTTATGAACCAAAAAACTTGTTCTGTTTTGTAATATTCCAAGTTGTATATATAGATTATATCAATTTATATTAATATATTAATTTATTTATATTAACTAAATTTCGTAAAAAAAATATCATAAAGTTAAATAAATATTATATGTGAAAGTATGTACGAGTCCTCGGTTAAAATTTAATCCCGGACTCGATATGAAAGGGTGTAAAGAAAAAGATAGAGAGAGAAAAGAGAGAGAAAAAGGAACAAGAGACAGAGGAAAGAGAGTGAAAGAAAATATAGTTTTTAAAAAAGAAAGAAAGAGAGAGAGAGAGAGAGAGAGAGAGTGAGAGAATGAAAAAAATGCAGTTTCTATTCATAAAATTAAACCAAATGATGTTCATCATCGACGTGATTTATATTAGAGGATTTCTTAAAGATCTCTACCACTACAGAGCCTTCCTGATCCCTGTGGCAGCTTATTACGCTGTCTAAGAACTTGCAAAACTTCACGACCAACCTAAATTATAAATAAAATAAAAATAAATAATAATAATAACATTTATAGTTGTCATAATTGTAATTTAAAAAAAAACTTTATAATAAAATTCAGACTAACATTTTCAAATATTGAACGCAGAGCAGTCCAACGTCGCCCTTTGATTGGTGAGGAACAAATAAAAAAAAAACAATATTACCTTCATTACACACTTAAATCTTCAATTTCATAGACTGAGTACGTAAATATATGAAATAGTTTTATCTCTCTCTTTCTCTCTCTCTCTCACACACACACACACACAAACGCACACGAACCAAAGCATGTAAATACCGTTGTATTAGGCATTAAACGTACACTTTACGCATACATTCGAACCCTAAAGCCATGATATAACCTCATAACAATTGAAATAATAATAATATCTTAGTGAACTACTTAAAAACGGAAATGAAACTACCATTTTTTTATCAAATATAAGTAGTAGAGCCAGCAAGATGCTGTATAATGACGTCATAGCGCTTAAAATCATCATTGCGTCAGCAATTTGTTCATCGTCAGTTGGGTGGTACTTTTATGTGAAAAAAAGAAAAATTGTTTTTAGAAAAAGGTTTTATATATTCATTCGTTCGTTCGTTCGTTTACTCATTCATCCATCTTGTCATTCACTCATTCATTCGTTACGAATTAAGTAAGTAATATTAAAATGTCGTCTCACAAAGCACGAGAAACAGAACCATTTCTGGAGTTGGATGAGTCTGCTTATGTAGATGGCGCAGGCACTGGAGACGATCGACGAAAGGAGGAATACCTTATAAACCCGCAGGTTGTTTTTTCCGACGCAATTGTTAAAACTGTACGGAAGAAAGAAAAACGAATAAATTTGAAAATAAATTTATTAAATTGGGATATGTAATTGATTTAATTGGCTAAAATATCATTTATCTAATAAAAAAATATTTGATTAAAAATCGCATCGTACATTGGAGCGTTTTTTCTGATTCGAGACATAGAAAAATGATAAAACTTGGAAGGCATTCATCTAAGACTAGCGCTTTCTCTTATGATTTAATTGATTTTTTATATGATTAATTGTGTAGAAAACCAATTAATTAAATTTAATTAACTAAAAAAGTTTTAACAAACATTGGTATATGCTCTTTCTGATTTAGAACGCACATCCCACAGATGTGGCAGTGGTAGGTGAGCCCGTGTTTCGGTTGGTGGCACTTTGAACAGAATAAATAATTTCCTAGAAAGGAATGAATGAATGAATAAATTAGTGAATGAATGAATTTAAATACCATCATCATCATAAATATCATCATCACAATTTTAACAAATTACTATTTCAATACAACTAAATGTAATATAACAAGTGCTGTTCAGCTATCGCATCACATGCGACGTAACTGAGTACGTGTTGCAACTGTTGATATTTGCTTAGGATTAATAAAAGTAAAATCAATAATTTATACAATAATATATAATAATAATAAATAATAATAATAAAGAATTGTAAACCATACCCATTGTATTTTCATTATCAGAGAAAAATATTGAGCCTGGATCCATGAAAACGAGTCTCAATAAACAAACCATCCACACAGCAGAAGAAAAAATATAACCTAAAAAAAATAATTGCTTAAAAAACTAGAAATAAAATATTGAATAAATATCAAACATAATAATTAAACTAAATTAGAAAAAACTTAGAAGTCTAAAAAAAACCAGCAACGAAAAAGAAAGAAGCGGTGCCATCGTAGTATCTCGGTAGAAGTAACCAGAAGATGATACATCCCAATTCACAGCAGCAAAAGATTAGGTAACTTAAACAACAAATTATCCCAGTTAATTCGAGTACGAAATGAAGCGAGCCCAAAATAGGCAGACAGAAATAGATTGTATTTTCTAGTCTTAGGAATTGAAAATATTGCAAATTTATATTTTTATGCTTGTTATGCGCTGGCATCGCTGGCCGGGAAATAATTAATTAAGATCAAATCAAATAATTAAAAAATCTCTTGATTTTATTTTTCAACCATTTTTAAATTTATTGAAAAAATAAATTCAAATCCTCATGAAAAACGCGCTGCTTTTGTTTATAGGTAGGTTACCTTAACAACGATTTACATGGCTGCCTAGCAACCAGCAGTGATGTACACGTACAAAATAAAACTCACGTCATTTCTGGGGTACCACCTCAGTTCAACTTTCTGAAATTTAATCGCGAAATTAGGACCAACGCAGTCAGATAGATTGAAATTTTATTTCATTCAGTGCAAGTAAAAATGTTCGTACTTATTCAAAAGCATGATGAAGAAAAGTGTGTATAGATTAAAACCGACATATAGAAAGTTTAATAACACACACGCACACACACACACACACACTGAAATTGAAAAAGCTACATAATAGATTATACGTATTATAATAATGAAGGGGGAAGAAAATGTAAATTAAAGGTCAGTTTAAAGGTCAATCATATATATATATATATATTATATATTAGATACATATTGTATATATATATATATATATATTATATATTAGGTACATATTGTATATATATATTATATATTAGATACATATTGTATATATATATATATATTATATATTAGATACATATTGTATATATATATATATATATATTATATATTAGATTAAAATTGTTGGAAATGCAATCATTGATGAAAATCACCGCATATTCCGCGTTAGTTAGCTTTCAGTTTAATCTTTCGACTCTTCTGACGGTTGATTGTGAATCATTTCTTGAGTTCAAAACTAAAATTTTTATTTATTTTAGCATGATAGAACAGAAACGCGGAACATGCTGTAACAATATATACATGCATATATGTATTGTATATGTTGTAAAACACCAACACCAATGAAAAGAAAATAAAATTGTCTATTATACCATTAGAATGATTTATTAATATGTCTCTCTCTTTCTTTTCTTTCTTGATTTCTCTCTTTCTCCTTCTAGATATATATGATTATAGCTTTCTGTAGCTATTAGAAAATTAGAAATAACTCCACAATATAATTTTGAGTGTGACAGTTGTTCAATTGATATCAATAAACGATGAATGATAATCAATCAATCAATCAATCAATCAATCAATCAATCAATCGTTTACTCAATCAGTTAATCAATCAACAGACAATCAATGTACAACCAACCCATCAATTTATTCATTCATTCCCTCAATTATTATTATTATTAGTAGAAGTCGCTGCAATAGCGACAGTAGTAGTAGAAGACGTTGCGGCAGTAGTAGCAGTATTTGTAGTAATTTGTGAATAGGGTGGTGGTGGGGGTGGGAAGGTGTAGTCCGCGGGCAGAGGTGGGGGTGCTGGAAAAAAGTTGTTGATGTCCTCATATTTTGGCGGGAGCATGATCTGTTTAAGACAGAAAACAATTATGAATTATTATTATTTTATAAATTATAACTATAATTATTATTATATGAATAATTGTTATCATCATTATAAATTCTATTACGAATATTCTTTAAATCATATTATCATTTAGATATTTTCATCTGAGTTGTGTAAAGAGAGCAATCAGGCAACAATAATAGCAATCAATAATAATATCGTCAATAATTTATAATCATAATAAAAACAACGATAATAATCAAAAACAATAGGAATAATAAAAACCACAATCACCAGAACCATCACTCACCTCAGCAACTCTCAGCCCATCACCATCGGTAACGGCAGACTCGACGTCATCATTATTATTATTTGGTCTTCTGATAACGACGCCAACGTCATCATTGTTGTTGTTGTTGATGGCTACTTGCTGGGAGAGATATTTGTAGCAGGACCAAACTATGCCCATGATGTACACCTGTGTGTAATGATGATGATGTGATCATGATGATAATGATGATGTGATTGCAATGATGATGATGATGATGTGATTGCAATGATCATGATGATGATGCTGATGATGATGTAAATAAATAAATAAAAACAACAACAAACAAAGAAAAAAGAACAATAAACTTCACCTTTAAGCAAAGAACAGAAATTGAAATGAGGACGAACAATCCGACGAGCATGTCCGGCTGCAGATTCTCCAGTTTATCCTTATATGGCAAGTTACCCTAGATTATAAAACTTATTGTATCACACATACAAACATAAACATACATGCATACATACATACACATACAAACATACATACATAGAAAGATACATACACATACAGATATATATATATATATATATACATAAACACAACTATAATTACAGTAATGGTAATATAATTAATAATAAAAAGCAATTTTTGTATTTATTAGGAAATGGTTTGACTAGTAAGAGGCCACAATTATTTATGAACAGCGGGAGAATGGTGAGTAATAATAATAATAATTATAATAATAATAAATAAATGTAAAATAATAACTACAAAGGAAGAATGAATAGTATTAAAAATATTTAATTTATCTTTTTTTACTTCCGATCAATTAGGCCAACAACCAACCAACCGGCCAACCAACCAACCAACTTACATTCTTTTTTATCCAGACCTTAAGATCATCAGCATAAGTGAAGTAGCTTATCAAGTTGAGACTGCTGATGCAAAAATCGAAAACTTGCAGGCCCATAAACGGAGTAAGATATCCCGGTTTATTCTGTTAGAAATGGAATGAGTGATTGAACCAATGAATGAATGGAAAAATGAATCAATGAATGGCTAGCAAACGAATGTATGACAAATGAATTAATGCATGAATAGATGTCTTAAAGATTAGATTAATGAGAGTCTTGCTTGACAAACATAAAAAGGGACTGAATGACATATAAACAATAATCATCATAATAATAACTAATAACGATAATTAATAATAATAAAAAGAAGAAGAATTTAAAATACTTACTACGAGTGTTCCATATATGAGCATGACAGTGATGATGATACAGGATCCAAAGAACAAGATACTACCAAACAAATCACCTATATATATATATATATATATATATATATATATATATATATATATATATATATATATATATATATGAATCAATAAATGAATATGTGAATATGTGTGTGTGCAGATCTCTTTGTGAGGAGATTAACATAAGATAAGACCATATGATGTGTGATCATTCATTATACTGTAGACGATTTGATGGTGACGACAATGAAATGATTAGTAGTAAGAAACATGACGATGACAAAGGCAATTGATAATGATGATAATTAGTGATAATAAACAATGGTGGTTAACATAACAGGTTAGATAAAGCAACAAATTTGTGTAAATTATTGTTAAAAATTAAGATGACAACAGAAAACGATTAATGATGACAATGATGGTGGGTGATCTATAGGCCTCTAAACCTGATTCGTCAAGCGATTTTGACTGTTTCTTCCACCAGAGTGTTGTTGAAGTTGGAGATGATGAGAGTGGGGTAGCAAGTGAAGTAGTGCCAGGGATGACATTTACATCAGGCTTCCATGATTCATTGTTAGTGATCATCTTATTGTTATTATTCAACAACTTCTGATCATTTGATGATGCCAGGAGTAGTAGTGGGATCAGAAAAACTAACTGCATTCCCTAATAAATTGGTAAAAAATTGTTTTTTTAGTGTTAGTCAAGTG